TTTTTAATGAATAATAATAATGGAAATGTCTTCCTTTGCTGTTTTAGCAGGGAGAGCCAGGCAGCATTTCCAGATCGATGGACTCTTTCCAAACAGCACGATTCCTGAATCTCCCACCAACATTTTTGCCAGGATTGAGGGTATGACTATCCTGCTCATGCCATCACTACTTTACACCCCGTTTGTGCTACATTGTATTTATATTACAGTCTCAAAGTTCCAGAACTCACTCCCATCACCCTCCCCCCTCCGTAATGTGGCCCCCCCTTCAGGGGAGGTGTTCGGCCAGTCCACAGCGCTGCCTTTGCTGTCCCCCGCGGGGGTGCAGGCTCTGCTGACGGCCCCCATGGGGTGTGCGGAGCAGACCATGATCCGGATGACCCCCACGGCCCTCGCCCTCCGCTACCTGGACCACAGCCAGGGCTGGGTGGAGCTGCCCCCGGGGAGCAGAGATGTGGCCCTCAGCCATGTTGAGAATGGTAATGCTGCTTTGCACACAGCCGGCCCAGTGTGCTTAAGCGTGTGTATAGAGTGTGTATAAGAGTACTACAGTATGTGTCATGTGAATACTAAGAGTAAAGATTGTTTCAGACTGCAGGTAGTACAACACAGAATAATGTGTTTTTTGTGTTTTCTCTATGCCACTGATAAATTAACTGTCTTTTGCTATCATCCTTTCCACACCAATTTCCGAATAGTTACCAAAATTCTAGCCAATTAGGAGTCCCTAGGCCCTCCAAATAATTTTTACCATCACTTTGGTTCCATCCAATCAAAATAATCTTTTTCTATATAACATATTGTAGCACCGGCGGGGTTTGCATGTCCCAGCATGCCCTGCGTGACACTGTAAATAGCCCTTGTATTGTTGCTGTCGTTGTAGTGATGATTATAGTTGTATTTCTGTATTGTCGCGCGTGTGTTTCCCTGTTATCTTGTATGTACCCTGTCTGATCCTCACGTGTTCTTACCTTGTATAAATCTCCCACCGTTTGTGCACCTTACCATTCGGCTTCTGACCACCTTGTGTTTTCGCTTAATGTATTTGGGTTCGGTGCTCACTAGGTGCCTGTTACAGTCCTGTTAATGACTATAATAAAGTGTGTGTTCTGTTCTGGGAAGTAATTCTCCTCGTCCTTCGTTGCTCTCGCAATGCCTCAGTCCGCCTGCTGCTATATTATGTACATGACTAATATGTCAGTTTTCCAATTTGGCCGACCTGTTCAGTGTTGACTGCCAATTATATTTAGTTCCCCAAAATGTATATATATGACGTCTCCAGCACTAGTTTGCATGTTTTAGCTTCTTGGGATAAAAATGACAGCCCTTCAGTTTGTTCCCATAATGTGACCTCACTTTGAACTGAGTGTCTGCACCTGATTCCTTCCTGCCATCGCTGCTGATTCTCTATCATCCTGCCTGAATAAATAAAAATAGCAGCTGAGAGACTCTTCTGTCACTCATATGAAATATATTATAAAACACAATATTTGTCATGTGGTTCTGTTCTCCATTTATCCTGAGTGATACCTAGATAATCAGTTACTGCTGGCTAAAATCTGTTTAGACTTTGGGGTTTGCCAAATCTCCAAGTCAGTGAATTACTAATTAATAATTATATTAATTCTTTTACTTTTGTTTTCCAGGTTATTCCAGAATTTTAATATTTAGAAAGTCTGATGGTTCTTATGGAGCCTGGACCAGCCATCCATCCAGTAACTGGTGTGTCCTTTTCAGACGATCTGGAACATCTCACATGTCAGATATTCAGCTTCATTGTTGATCAGCCTGTCAGTAATCCTGCTCCTTCCTGCTCTCTCCCTCCTCTTCTTCATACTTCCTCTCAATCTTGCTCCCGTATCCTTGCTCCAGGCTGACAGCCCTGGTTGTGAAGGTGATGTCTCTGGTGGTTGATCGACAGCTGGAGGGCAGGGGAGAGAAAGGGAGGGAGGAGATCGGCATCTCCCAGGACGAGATCCAAAAGTCAGTGGAGTATCTGATCTCAAAGCAGGACGGAGATGGCAGCTTTAAAGACCCCAATCCGGTCATTCACAGGGAAATGCAGGTGATGATCAGTAATGGGCAAGTGGCCCATTTAAAGTGCCGTTACAGATCTGAGCTCCAGCAGCGCCCCCTTCTGGTGATAGGAACTTCCTCCTTCAAACAACAGAGGGAATGCAGCATGTACTATTACA